AAGGTCACAGGTTCCATAAAAGGATTTATTTTTGTAAATTTGAATTTTTTTTTTAACGATATACAGAGTGGTCCGAAAGTCTTGTTACCTCTACATAATATAATCGTCTATTTCCAGGTCGCTGGCATAAGCTTCTATCGTTTGGAAGCGAAGTAAGGGGTGACAAGACTTTCGGACCACGCTGTATATTAAATTCACTTTGAAGTTAAAAAATAAATAAATAAAAGTCTATAATAAATGAAAACATTAGTCTCTCCCACCGATATTTGCGCTTTTCATTACAAGTCAGGATAAAGATATCGATTTGGGTATTTAATATCTTTTTTACATTCGACCTTCATTAAATTAAAAACGAATCAATGTCAATAACCGCAAACCAAGAAAACTATTTTAAGTTCATTTTTTTGGATTTAATCCGCTTTTTAAAAATTAAGAGATGCCGAAATTAGAATTTAAATTGTGGCACTTTTTCATTAATAAAGGCTTCAATGTAGAAGAAAATATTTAGATTTTACTGAATCAAAAATCAACATTTTAAAAGCTATCCATCACCACCGAAATAAGAAATATAAACAAATTCAGATAATTAATGAGTTTAAAAACTTAAAAGCAATTTTGTAATCGAAAGAAAATAATAAAAAAAGGTTTTCGTATCGTTTAAATACCGACTCCATCAAATGAAGAGGACATTGAAGGTCACGGTAGAAGAGAAACGAGATTATTAACAAACAAAATTTAAGACAAAACCAAAACAAATATTAAGAAATTTATATAGTAAGCATATATAGAAACCATTTTAAATAATAATAAGTATAAAAAAGCGTGACCAAATAGAATTTTAACGCCATTTTTATCGGCTTTTTCAGCTTGGAAAATGAAGGTGCTTAAAAATGATCCACCATTAAAAACGAGTGAAAAAAATTCTACCATGTGTAAAAGAAATCGATTTAAAGACGAAACTCTGTTAAATAACTATTTATTTTTTTTACTCACGTGATGTAAGGAAAGCTGTAGAAGCTTTTAGGGCTGTTGGATACGCTTTTGGATACGAAAGAGCATTATTTGCAGCCCTGAAGGCTCCCAAGCAAGAGCGCCGTACCGCCTGCAACATGGCTGATCACTACGATGAGAACTGGTCACGTGTTCACTCCAACAACGTTACCGGGCACCGAACTACTTTCGTTACATTCCGTAATTTATTAAAAATATCTAATGTTAAATAATTTTCATTTTACATATTTTTCTTTCATTTTAATTAAATAACTAATATGGAAAATATAATGATTTAAATTATTGTTTAAAATTTCAAAATTTCAGTGGCATTTAAATTTATTCGGTAGTCTACGTACATACGTGTGTGTGTGTGTGTGTGTGTGTGTGTGTGTGTGTGTGTGTGTATATATATATATATATATATATGTATGTATGTATGTATGTATGTGTATGTGTGTGTGCACGCGCGCGCTCTCGCTTTTTACGAGCAGAGGTCACCTAGCGTAAAAGCTCACCTGTCTTATCTAATGTTACTTGCTCTTTTCCCAGCCAACTACAAAGTGACATTAAATACTAACAATTTATGTCAAACTTGTGGAAAATTGTGCAAATCAAAAAAAGGAATTGAAAAAATAAAGCAAACAACAACAAAAAAAATGTATGTGCCAGTGTTTTAAAATTTTGTTCCATTTAAAGAGCTGTAACCATTCAATGACCAACTGAGTCTTACAATGATGTCATGTGATACTCAACATCACCACGATGACCATCACACACACACACATAATCATTTTACCCCAAGCAAGGCAATAAAGCCACTAAGATGCAAGAGGTTTACTGACTGTTAGAGAATATGAGGAAAAAAACACTATTAAGGAGCGAGAACAATAAAAGAACAGAAATTAAGAAGATAATGATTGACATTGAATTTAAATTTCTGAAGATCAAAGTTGACTGGGAAGCAAGAAACTGAAAGAGAATTCCACAAGCGAGAAGTGCGATAGAAGAAAATGTTAGCATAGAACTTACGGTTACATCTAGCCAATTTTATTGTAAAATGATGAGACCTTGCCACCAATCTAGTACTGCACTTAAATTCATAAAGTTTAGGTACCATAGAGGAAAGTTTGTGGGGTTGAAAATTATTTGTTTACACTTGGAAGCCATAATGAAAGGCTGCAGGAAATTTGTCCTGGCTTTCCCACATGAAAGGGTTATGGTTAAAAAATTTTGACAAAAATCGAATAAAAACAGCATGATTAGAGCAGACAAACTCTCTCTTTTAGGTGCATGAATAAAGAAAGACTCAAAACTCCTGCTCGGTGTGTAACAATAAAAGAAGAAAATGTTTATTTACATGTACAAAAAAAAGGGTAAAAAAAAAGATAAACACAATTATGAAAGAAAGAGAGAAAAAAAATCCTTTAATTTTAAAGGAAGAGAAAATGTTCATAAAAGAAAAAAGACTTGCTCAAAATATTTAAATAGGTTAAAAAGAGCCTTACTTACTGTGAAATTTCTGAGGGGCTGAGCAATAAAGCACATCAGATAATAAGGTAGTTTCCCTATAAAGGGGATATAGGTTTGCAGAAGGACACCTTTATCTATCTACTATCTATATTTCTCATGTTGTCTGTCTGTCTGTCTGTCTTGGGCATTGTTACCTCGCCCAGGCCGCATTTCTCACCCGATTTCGATGCGGTTTTCAACACAAGTTTGCAAATGGCTGCTATAAGGACATGACGGAGCCCGATTTTTGAGTTCAGAATCAGGTTCCGAAAAAATCAATAATCGAAAAAATTCTGCTTACAGAAGGAATGATCGCATTTCAACCAAATTTGACACCCTCTTAGAGTCTACCATTAGAAGTGTTGTCCAAAAGTTTCATGACCACAGACCCCTAAACAGCGCGGAAAATCGATAAAACCCAAAAACTGATACGCCCAAATTGCGTCTGAACCGCATGTCAGTTTTTAGCGAAAACCGAGCGGATTTATGAAGAGGCCATTGGGAGTCATCATGTGAAGTTTCAACTCTGAGCACCCCACAGAGTGCAAATCGACAATCGGTCAACCCTTAAAAATGTTTTTTTTTCCAGTTTTTTAAAGCTGATCGTATTGTGTTTATATTTTGTTTAGTTCTTTTTTCATAACAGATTTAATGTTTACTTTAGAGCTTAGAAGAAGTTGGCAGTGTGATACAGGCAAGAAGTAAGGCATGTAACAACATCAGCACGGCAAAGGGCACTTCTCTAAAGGCAAGGAAGGGCAAAAATATTTTAAGTCAAGTGATAGCGATTGCTGTATTAGTCGTACTATTTTTGAATCAAGCACGGGCAACGCCGGGCCATGCTACTAGTTTTTGATAAGGTTTCTCGCATGCACAGGCCAATAGACATAATACCCACTGTTTTATAAATAAAAAGGTGGAGGGGGGCGTCTATTTTAAAGAAGAAGTGTCTACTATAATAACATTTGAAATCATAAAAATGACAGATTTAAAATAAATCCAATTATTCTTTAGAAATTGCTCTGTTTACATTTCGGATAAAAAAAAAAACTGAGCAGATATGGGCTCATTTGACATAAATGGCCATGAGAAAGGCATGAATCTACTCCTCCCGGGCCTCTCACCTATGACAATATATATAGACAATGTTTTGTCATTTGTATATCAAAATGAAGAAGCAAATGTGTAAGTGAGCATTTGGATAAATCACTCTCCCATAACTGTTCACTCAAAACATATAAATTTGTAGTCAAACTTCACAGAAGTCGATCATTCATATATATATATATAGGAGGCATGGAGTAATGGATAGTGGAGTAATGGATAGTGGTTTGGATTGAGGAATCAGTGAGTCGAGTTCGAATTCCAGTCAAATCCATTACATTCACTTACGTGCTATACCCTAATGTGAATCCTCTTCTTCCCCCTTCAGCTGTTATAAAATAAAATAAGACACATCTCAGCTGATTTACAGGCAAATACTCAAGAGCGAGAACCGGATGTGAACGGGACAAAGCCCCGTCACAAAATGACCATTAATTTTCTTTACAAATGTTCCCGACACGTGTTCCGGTTAAAAAATAAAATAATATTTAAAGTGCTCTATTTTTCATCCAACAAAAATGCTTCCCTCCTAATTATACTCACTTCATTTCTCGAGCCTGTTAAGCCATAAAAATCGCTATAAAAGGGGTCACACGGAAGTTCAACAGCAGTCCACAGGTGCCCAGGATAGAAACCTGTCACGTCCAGCTGCTGACAGCAGGGGAGCGTCAACCACCGTCAACATGTGTGAACTACTATGAGAGATCGACCAGATCCGAAAGCCAGCTTATGAACTTTACCACACCAAGGTAGCTGTCCCAAACCCTCACGTTCCTGTTGAAATAAACCACGTAAATCTATTTCTACTGTTGTCGTATTTATTACTTGCAACCATACGCTTGTCTATAACACAGCTATGGACAGACTGGGTTCTATAGCTTTGGATGGCAACTGGTCTAGGAGAAGGACAACTCTGAATTCAAAACCTGCGGAGGGTCGTTTTGGGACCTTGTGGCACATAGTGCACCAGGTCTCTGTATTTGGCCCTTCAAAAAGTGTGGATGGTCCTGCAAGAAACCTTCACCTCTATAATCAAATCTCATGTGCTGTTGTCGGGCTGTCAGTTTCCTAGGAGCTGGTCTACTTGACCCTCATGTGTCATATTCGACAGGGAGAGTTGAGAGTATATATATATATATATATATAGTTAAGTTATGAAGAACTTGGTAATCCGTATAGGTAATCCCAAGGAGGATGAAATCTTGAGAGCTCAATGTACATCCAGGGTTTTTTTTGGAAGTGCTATCTGATGATCTGGCGTCCTTTAAAAGGGCTCTGGTGAAATAAATTATTATAATGGTACCTTAAAGTGGTCTGTTTTTCTTTTATATATATATATATATATATATATATATATATATATATATATATATATATATATATCAGATCTGTAGTAAGTGGAAAGGATAATCCAAGTGGGTCTTTTTAATATAAAATATTACAAAATTAGATCCATGTAGAGAGCTTGTTGGAGTTAGCTCCTCCTCAACTCCTTAACCCTTCACCAGGGGTCTCTCTCTCCCCTGACTATAAATACTGGGTGACCCTTCGCCTCTTCTGCCTTTTTACTCAGGCCTTCAGCCTTACCACCTCGCAGATGTGAGCCCTCACAGATACAGCATTTCCCAAATGCTGGGAACACGCTAAGAACAATACACGTACGTACGAACACTCACCACAACACACACACACACACAAATAATATTCACCACACGCACTCTGTCCATGTAACTTGTAACCTTTAACTTGTTATTAATACATATATTTGTTTACAAGCTCAATATATTATATACAGAGGAATATGATATACATCAAAGGAAAAAACTTAACATATTTTGAAAAATCTGGTAATACATTTATTTCAACAGGTAAGTTTTTAATACATGCCTCATCAGACTGGAATTACAAATGGCTTAAATTTATCCAGACAATATGTTAAAAATATTCCTCGAGGACATATGGCCCAGCAGATACAAGCAAAGAGTTCTGAGTTCAATACCTGGCTACAGCAGAAGAGTTGAGTTAAAGAGAGATCTGATACCGAGACATCCAGAAGAGGCATGACACATGGAATTAGAACAACCTACCCCGGTGGACAAAATAAAGTGTTCGAAATTCCAATCATCTGAAGAAGGCTGGAATGTACAATGGCTGAAATGTCATGAACATGGCAATGAAGATTAAGACAACAGCCTGAACAATATAAATAGTGTAAATTAGATAGGAATTTATTCACAAATTTAAACACTTGAAATAGTGCTAGTAGCTTGTTTCAGGAAAATAAATCAGAATTCTTAAAGTCCATAGTTTTACACTATTTACATTATTCGGACTATTGTTCTCATCTTTGTTGCCATATTTATTACAATGTTTTGGCCGTTGTACACTCCAGCCTTCTTCAGGTGTTTGGAATGTCAAACTGAACTCTTTATTTCACTCACTGTGGTAGACTGTTCTAGTTCCACGTGCTATGTCTAATGGATGTCAGTTATCAGTTATCGCCTGTTAATTCCCCTCTCCAAGTTCTCCACCACCTTAACCAGGTATTGAACTCACACTCTTTGGGTCCTGTCACTGGATCTAACTAACACCTTTATCCATAGTTTTAATGTATTATCATAAAGAGTAAATGTTCATACAATAGATTAAATGACCTGACACAAAATAATATTCAAAAATTGTTTAAGACAAAGGTAAGAGAGTTTGTTGCTCACCAAAGGGAGATATATGGTTTGCATACATTCAAAGGTAGACAAAGAGAAATAGTTTGAAATACTTAGCTTTCTTGGATTGTTGAAAGAAAATTCCTTGAAATACCACATGCTGCCCAGAGGCTGATAATATAATTGGCAAGTAATTTTACATTGGCTAGAACTTCAGCGCTGGTCACAAGAAACTGGAACAAAATCCTTCACATGACTTTAGAAACACTTTTTTGATTAAATTAATTTTTCTCCTCATTTTATATCAAAAGGAATTTTGCATAGTCTCTCTACTTCCTTTCTTTCTTTTCAGCTGATGGGCTAATTTCTATGAAGACAAGTTTTTATTGGTCCAAAAACAATTCCACATAGGCTCATGAATGTCTCCACTTCTTCTTTCACTGTCCTTGGAATATGAAAGGAGGGGATAAAGGGAAGTATTATTATTTTGCACTCAATATGACTTATTTTTGATCACAGAAATAAACATGATATGGTGATTTTAATTTCAACTAAACTCTACACATATAATATTAATTTATGGTCTCTTTTACAGTAGTTAATACACTAATGCTTTTTTTTTTCATCAAAGTTAACATAGTTCAACATATTTATTTTTTCTTATTGGTAGATCACAAAATCAACTCCAATTATATGTTGAATTTTGGTGCGTTAATATTATTTCAAAAGTGAAGATCACATAATGTGGAATATGTCATTCCACACTACTTCAAATAAAAGGTTATGAAGGAAACTCCCATCAATACTGGAAAGAGCAGTAACAGCTACTAGATTTGAGAAACCTATTTTTCTGAAAAATTGTTCTAAGAGAAAGATTTTATAAATTTGAACTGAAAACACTACTGGCTGCTCTGTGAATGAATGCCAAATGTTTCCTTATAAGGAAATGGCTAATATTATCTTTACTGTATTATGTCCATTGTTAACTAGGGCAAAAGATGGCTTGTTAATTTTAATGCTTCCAAAGCTAAACTTCTCTCCATTAATCATCTGAGAGACCCCTCTCTGTTTTCCATCAGCATGGCTGATGCTAACATCTAGGAAAGTGACTTGTTGCACCTTCTCGGGCTAAGATTCTCCACTGACATGAAGTGGAAAGATTTGTAGGTGGAAGGTCTTGCATGATTACCTGTAGACATCAATAACGCATTTATATTATCACAAACATAACAAAATAATGAACAAGAGAACAATAATCTTCAAGGCAAGAGTGTTTGCATAACAATAAATAGAAACTTTTATGTAACAAAAGGTAGAAACATTTGTTGAAAAAGTTGTTTAAAACCTTCAAATGTCTTTGTATGTTTCGATTTGAGTTTTATTAATGTTCTGATTAGATAGATCCTGAGTTGTGGAATAACGTGTGAACATGAGATAGTATAATACAGTATAATTTGGTCTATGTTGAAATTAAACAGCTTGAGATTTATGAAAATTGTGGGTGAATGAAGTGGACTTACTTTGTGTTTTAACTGGGTTGTCTTTCTTTGATATTTGTTGACTTTTAGTTCACTTGTGTTGAAAGAGCAATACAGACTGTTTTAGTATTAAAAGAATTTTAGTGTATAGTCTGAAATGAAGAATAGTGACACATGCAGCATAGCTCCAGGTTGGATTTTCCACCTCACTCACTGTTTCTGAATTTTGTGTTGTTAATATACACAATATGCGTCACGTGATAGGCTCCAGAATTTTGGGGGCACAAATGTATTTTTGCTCAGGTCAAAAATAGGGTCAGTACATTTGGACATAGTTGATGACACATAATTGATATTTTTCAGCCAACCAGAATACGTTGTTGTATTATTAAATTTAAAGCCTGTGATTTGGGGTTTTTAAGATTGATATAGGATCATGATCCTAGCGATTGTATGGAATCCATTGCTAGGTCACCTGCTAAGAGAGTCAGTTCACTGTATCTTACGAGTCAATTTTTCTCTCCAGAATCTGTCATATGTATCTATAAGTCTACCATTTGTCCATGCGTAAAATATTGCTGACATACATGGTCTGGTGTCCGTGCTATTTACCTTGAGCTCCTTGATAAAATACAAAGAAGACTTAGCAATATTATTGGTCCTGATCTGGCGGCTTGACTTCAGTCACTTTCTCACTATGATAAGGTTGCCTCCCTGTGTCTTTTCTATAAATATTTTTATGGTAATTGTTCAGATGAGCTCTTCGTTATGGTACCAAGACTTTTGAATTTTAGCGCAGGACTAGACTGGCATCAAGATTTCAACAATTTACAGATGAGCTGGCTAAATGTAACCATAAGTTCTCACTTCTGTCTCTATGTTTTCCAGTCAACTTTAATCTCCAAAAATTTAAATACAATTTCAATCACTATCTTCTGTCCTCTTGATTATTTTTTTCTCTTCTTCGCTCATTATTAATGTTACTGTCCCTAATTCTTCTACAACCAGTAACCCCTTATGTCTTAGTGGCTTTGCTGCCTTGCTTGGGATGAAATAAATTTAAAAAAATGATAGCTGGTAATTAACAATCCATTGCTCTCCCCTGGTTAGACATTAAAAATTTTTGGAATTGCTGGGTTGAACATTGGCAACCCTCCCCTTGTGTATAGGTTAGTTTAGTTCGGTTTTTGTTTTAGTTTTCTCTCCTTTTTGAAAGTTAACTTAGCTAGGGTATGTATGCTCATTGGCCCTTTTTATTTCTGCCCCTATTTTTTTTCTTTTCTTTTGTTTAATTTCCCATCCCCCCATCATTAGGTGGTTAGTGATGTCAGTTCTCTGGTGGGTGCGGGGAGCCTTTCATTTTGAGTGTGTTTTTCATATTTGTTGTTGTGTGTGAATGGGTGAGTGTTTGTAGTGAGTGCATGGCTTGTATGAATGTTTTATATTTTTCAAGTCCCGCATAGATTTTGTTCAGCTAACTGATATTTCTGCCACAGTTAGGGTTGTGGGGTGGGTGGGGGTGTACTACTAACACCATTTTGTTTAGTTTCTTGTATATAGTTTTATACTCATTGTAAAATTTAATTGGGGTCTTTTTAGATTTTTTAATTGTTATTTTATTCCCCTGCCTCCACAGACAATGAATTGTATATATGGGGACTAGTTAGGACTTCATAGAGACTCTGAGGCATTATGGTGGATGAAGTAAGAATGGTATGTAAGAATGAGATGTTTTGGTGAAAGGAATATTTTTTGTATGGTTGGGTCAGTGATTGCGGCTAGCTAAGTTTAATGTTAAGAGAGAAGATGACCATCCTTTTTCCCCTTTCACCTTTTCGGCCTTGTGCCATATTTGTACTCATGTGCAATAAATAATTCCATTGCTCTCCCGTTGAGCCGAAAAACTTTTTGCAATAGAAGTACAAGTTATCTCCCTTGGTTCACTTGTCAATTTTCTTACGAAGACAACATGGCGCCGAGCGGTGGAGTGTCAACGTGTCTCTCTTTTTTAATTATCTTTTTTGTACCCATTATCGCATGGGATTCCGATCATATGGAATTGTTCGATCTTGTGGAAGAGATTGGTAGTAATTTCTATGAAATTTTGGGTGTGGATGAGGTACGTGGCTCCTAACAGCGGTACATAATATATAAAAAAAGACATTCCTTACTAACTTGTAAAAACACTGACTAAACAAATATAAAACGGGAATTTAACTTTCCCACTTTACTTTCACTTTTAAACTGAATTAAAAATAAAAGTTAGCTTTTCTTTTTAAAATTGTCATTGCGTGGAAAGTTCAGGTTATTAACGTATTTGGCAAGTGGGACTTGAAACGGACGAAGTACTGTCGCGATAAACATACGTTTAAAAAAATAATTCTTGGTCACATGTATTTGAAATTAGTTTTCATTTTGTCTTATTTTGTTTTGTTTGTATATTTTATTTATATTTTCATATATTTTGATATGTAAAATCAATAACTTTGAAGTCGCTGCCTGACTCCAACAAAACATAATTAGGCTTCTTTAAGTTTTTTTAACAGATCGTTTTTACGTTTAAAAAGACTTAAAATAATTGGGTTTTAGTTTTTTTTTTTTTGTATTTAGTTTAAAAAATAAAATTTATATTGAAATTAAAAAGGCTATAAATTTAAATTTGAGTGTACAGTTTAAAAATCAGAATCAAACTTTCAAATTGGCCATTCCATTGAATTCGAACGTTTTTTTTTTGTTTTTACTTTATTTCAATAAATGCAACCTTCATTTCTTTTTTTATTAATGAAATATTGTGTCTGAAACTTTTTAAGTTAAAAAAGGACTTTTCCCAATCTTTAAAATAAATCTATAATTTAATGTAAATAAATACTGTATTTTCTTTTTCGATTTAAAACTCATTTTGGAAACTTTTTCTTCATTAAAGAATTCTCTAGGCTATGTACAATATTCGTTTTTTTTTTATCCTGTTTTTAAATCCTTGTCAGTATCTTAGACAACAGGTGGACAAAAAATAATTGAGATAATTTATTAACAATTCCGAGGCGAAATAATAATTTGTTTATTTTGAAGGGATAATTCTTTGTGTATTATTAACAAATAATGAAGTAATTTTGTTTTGTCCAAAAATGCGAATATGTTTTTTTAAATCTTGATTTATTTCTTTGTAGAGTGCTTCATCTCAGGAAATCCGCCGTGCCTACCGAAAACTCTCCTTACAACTCCACCCTGATAAAAATAAAGCTCCTGATGCTGAGAAAAAATTTTTGGAGGTGAGTAAATTAAACCTCAATGGATTGCCAGATAGAATTGGAGATACTAAGGTTGTGGGTTCAATCCCGGATCTCTTCTAAACATTTTTTTTTTACATTTGTTGACTGAATTTTTCTAAAAATTGACAGGATTATTTACATATGGATGAACTCTTTTGCCTAAGATCAGAGTGTTGTTTAGTAGCTGCACACTTCGAATAAATGTTATACAATACATGTACCTTCAAAGATTTTTAAAAAAAATGAGTATACTAAGGTGAAAAAATGCCCCAAACTTAATAATATTTAACTTAATTTTATCGTCAAAATCTTTGTTATTATAAAGGCCCTTAATAATAACAAAGATTTTGACGATAAAATTTTCTAAAAAGGAGTAAAAAATATACAATAATCAAAAAATTCTTTTGTCTTTGACCTTAAATTAAGGGGAAAGACAAAAGAATTTTTTGATTATTGTATTTTTCCTTTTTAGAATCTTCAAAATTTTGGTCAAGAATTTTGTTTTTCTTGCATCACTAGGTGACCATATAGGAAATTTTTGTGATGCAAAAATCAGATAATTGTTGGATTTTAATGAAACTTTCAGGACTTATTCATAAGTAAATGAAATTATTTTTGAAATGTTACTTTTTTCAAGAAAATCATGGCACAGTGGATAAAGGTGTTAGTTAGATCCAGTGACAGGACCCAAAGAGTGTGAGTTCAATACCCGGTTAAGGCAGTGGAGAACTTTCAGAGGGAAATTAACAGGAGATAACTGACATCCATTAAACATGGCACGTGGAACTAGAACAGTCTACCACAGTGAGTGAAATAAAGAGTTCAGTTCGACATTCCAACCACCTGAAGAAGGCCAGAGCATACAATGGCTGAAACGTTGTAATAGATATGACGACAAAGATGAGGACAATAGTCCAAATAATGTACATAATACCTCATCTCAGAAATATAGACAGATACTTTCAGGATTTATAAGTGAATGAAATTATTTTTGAGATGTTCCTTTTTTCTAGAAAATCTTGGTAAATATATTTTTTTACTTGTTACCCCCCATTTATTTCATTTTATGAAATTTCAAGAAATTAATTTTTGTAGGGCTTAATGTTTGTATTAATTATAAGCACAAGTCCTTGGGGTATTTAAATAATTAATTTCTTTGTAAAACAGGACCCCCAGTTACAGAAAATCTGATCTGAATCATAAAATAAAACATGCAATAAAAGTAAGACATTATTTAATTAGAAATAATGCGAAACCCAAAATTGGCAATGAAGACAGAGCATCACTGAAGACCACCCTTGATGCATCTAAAATGTATTATTTAACTAAAGTTTTACATCTTTTTAAAATTCTGTACTAATTTTTAGCAGTTAGGTGATATTGTTATTAGATTAAGACTATATTTACTAATGATAAATGGCAAAGCTTACTACAATTCAGTGCCCCTCCCCCAGTAATTTAAAAAGAATTTTGAATTTTTTTTTGTGTGTGCATATTAACATACTAATTTTGTCAATACGGATGTCCATACATGAAATTATCAGAAAATAAGAGCAATAACTATAGTAAATTTAAAATTTATTGGTAATTTTCTAACATTTCCTCAACAAGCATTTTCGTAAGTAAGACTATAAAGTCAAAGTACCTAAAATTTAATAAAATATTAGAATATTTTCCTAAATTCTAAGATTACTGGGTAGTTAAAAAATTATATAAAAAAGGCATTCATGTTATATTTGTCAAGTAATTGTTACAGTTTTGTCCTCTAGAAAAAATTGCCAAACATGAGTCTATTAAGATAGTTGTTAACATCTCATAAAATAACCCACTGACAAAAAAATTAAAAATGTTTTTCTGCAATACTTTTCACTAAAATAAGTAATATTTGTTTCAACTCAAATTAATGAAACTTTAAATCAGCTAATCTTCGTCAAATAAAGTTTCAGAATAGCATATTTGATTTAAATTTTTTTTTTTAATAAAGTGAATTGCGTTGTGCAGAGAGAATTGCAAAAATGGCTAAATTTAAATCAATTTAAATTTCTTTTAAAATACAGTATCATTATTATTATTTACACTATATTCAAACTATTATCATCATTTTTGTTGTTATTATCACAACATTTTGACTGTTGTGCCTTCTGGTTTTTCTCAGGCGTGTACAGGGAACTCTGAACTTAACTATGGAAGTAAACTGTTCTCATTCCACTAACCATGTCTAGGAATATCATTTACTTCTTATATTTATTTAGTAGTGCTCAGTTATTCTTTGCCAGTTTCCACTGAGTGCAAGTATATACTTGCTGACCCAGGGATTAAACTCACAATCATGATGTCACTAATTTCATAAAACAACTCTTTAATTCATTTGGCCATTGTCCTATAAGACAATTTGTTGGAGCCATAAACCTAACCTGTTGCTGGTTAAACTTGCAACAGCTGCTGCTGTCTGTCATGTTTTTGATTGCTGCAGCTGTTGAAGACTTGCTGTCATTTGTTTTTCTTTATTTATTAGCAGCTCCAATATTGTATTTATTTCTATGCTAGGCCAACTAATGAATCCTTGTAGCCTAGCGTATGTGTTGATTCTTTCAGACATCTAACTCTCCAGTGTTCTTCCTTGTCCAGTATTTTCACTTCATTCCACATGGGCTGATGACTACTACTTTCCTTACATATATGATCAGCTATGCCTGATTCCATTCTTTCACTCCTCACCACAGCTTTTCAATGTTCCTCCAGCCTTACTTTTAGGGAGTGGCTTGTTTCACCTGTATATTTGCTGCTGCAACTGCAAGGAATCAATTACATGCAACTCTGTCATGTTCTCCCCATGTTAGGCTTTGGTAGAGATTTCTCTGTAGGGTGGAACTGCTACTGAATATTGTCCTGGTGTTGTATGGACCACAGATATTCTGAATCTTTACTGATAAGCAGAGTTGAAATTAATGCATGCAAGGTTTCACAGCTCTAGCATCACTTCTCTCATAGTCAATCCACCCTCATAAATTGTCCTGTATATGACAATAAACTACAACCAGCAGCAAGGCTACTGATCAAGAGATTGGAGGTTAATTAATTGCTGTTGTTCTCAGGTCCACCCTGATCTGGGGTGGTAGCACCTGTTAGGGTCCCAGCTATGGACAAGTAGTGAATTCCCAAACAAAAATTAACAGTACATTTTTATAGCAAAATAACAATCAATGCAATACCAAAAAATATAAAAATACATTTTTATATTAAAATTACCAACAATAAATTTTATGCTTTCCAAACTATATATCTAAAAAACATAGCTTTATTCTGAAAGGTTAGGGTTAGGTTGACATGGCTGTGGTAATAAAATAAAACTTTGATCTTCAAAAATTTAATGTCAGTCGTCCTAATTTGTAAACTTTTATTGTTCTCTCTCCTTTTCTTTTCTCATATTCATTCACATTCATTAACCCTTTGCATCATCTGTCATCTAGGTATGATGTTAAACTACATCTGGCAGCAAAGACCCTGATCAGGAGTTTGGGGCTTTTAAGGAGTGTGGAACCACCTTTTAACTTCTGTTGTTCCTTGGTTCACCCTGACCTGGGGTTGTAGCACCTGTTAGGATCCCAGCTATGGGTAAATAGTCAACCCCTAAACAAAAATAATAGGTACATTTTTTATAAAAAATAACTAACAATACATTTTTATGGCAAAATGACAATCAATGCAACACTAAAAAATATAAAAATACATTTTATAATAAAATTACCAACGCTACATTTTATGATCTACAAAATATATATCTAAAAAACATAGCTTCTCTCTAAAAGCATAAAATTATGTACAAAATATTTAGATTCCGGTATTAAATAACCCATAGAGATGTTGATTTGCCACTAAACAAAATCAACCAACCAGCAACTATCTACCCCAGTCTTTGTTTTGCCATCTATTTACACAAGATTCTTAGATTGGTTACTCATTGTTTTCCTCTCTCACATTCAATATATCTTGTAAGTATCAAATTCTCCAAGCCCTCTTTCTGTATGTTGGTCAGTAGTTGGAGATTCATTGTGGAATTCACTTGACTCACTTCTAGCAGTTGACTACTTCTACATGCCACTGGCAAATCTTATATGTGTTGTCCTTGTCCTAAGTATTATCGTTCGTTATCAACCTTTGTGTTTTTATTCTATTTAGTAACCTTCCTTAGGTTACAACAATTAGTGTCCTTTTAGTTTCCATTTTTCTTAAAACTTCCTGATTGCTAACATGTTCCCTCTCTGGTATTTTCAGCATCCTTCTGTAGAACCACCTCTCTGTTGTCTTAAATCTCCTTTTTAGCTGTGAGAAAAACAATGGGAAGATAGTAACATACCAAAAAAAGTTACTTTTCAGCAAATGCTTTGATAATATTGAACTCTGTCTTTTTGGTTTTGTTTTTCTCTCTTTATTTTTTAATTACTCCCCTAATTTCCCTCCCTGTAAACATTTGTCAAAAACTCTCAGGACTTGCTTAGTCATCAGTGTCATAATGAATGAAGGATATTTCTTTTTTTTCCAGATGGTTTCAGTTTATGAAGTCTTAAAGGATCCAGAGAAAAGACAAAGGTAAGATAAAAAAAAATATCAGTGGTTGAATGTTACTCAAAGGCAAAATACCTTTTTTTTTCTTATTGACAGGAAATAAAACTGTACCACCCTCAACATATTTTTCGGTCTCTTCAAATTTACAGGTAATACTTCTCAAAAAGATCAATAGGTGCAAAGGTCCCAAAATAAGGGCTTTATCAGGTCCTGATGTCATTACAATGAATGTCATCTTTGGATGTTAACACAAGCCTGCATTTATGTATATAATCATCATTCTTTATGTGGATGATCATGACTCTCCACAACTTCTCTTTTGTAGCTTTTATTAGGTTGAAAATAATGTCTGAATTTAAAATAAACCTTTTAATTATGTTCTAATATAATAGTTGCACAAAAATATATTACTCATTCCTAGTGTTTAAAGTTTCCTCTTTGTTAATTTTGTATGAATCTCTTTCAGAACTTAAAATATTATATAACCCTTATCTTGAACATGGAAATAGAATAGATGTTTACTTTTTTGCTTGGACACATATTGCCAGGATGACACTGCAGAAGCTTACTGACTTAGGATACAAGACTTTGTCACATCCACTATATTCCACTAATCTCTTGCCCACTGAGGATGGCAGCACCTGTTAGGGTCCCAGCTCTGGGTAAAAAGTGAACCCACAAACTGGGGTCAAAACATGAAAATATAAAAACACATTACAAAAAATTACCAGCAATACACTTTTTGAAAAAAAAAAAAAAATTATCAAATCTCACAAGAAAATAAAATTTTCACATTAAATGACCCATAAGGAGTTTATATGTCATTAAACAAATAAACCAAACCATCTTGCCCACTGATGACCATTTTTTTCAAGCATCTTGACAATTTTTTAAGTCCAAAGACATTCTGTTGCAAAGAAGATGCAGAACCTTTAGAACTTTATCATAAAAGCATAAATAACCTTGTAGCTCGATAGCAGAAATGTATAGATGTTCAGCGTTTCTATTTTGACTGATTTAAACCCTATTTAAATACATTAATTCATGAATAAAAATTGATTCAAAATTGGATCTTATTTATCAAACAACTTAATAGTAAGGTTTGTCTTTTTGCGATCACTCATTGTTCTGCCATTTGTTTCATCATGCAAAACATTTTCCTGTCTCTGCGTCTGTTGCTGCAATACAGCAAGAATTGTAGGTAAGCTGCATGAATGAATTAAGCATCATCTCATATGTTCAATGGGAAACCGTTTTGGTGATTGTGTTGGCAGAGCATGTTAAGTAATACAGGCATCGTATGAGCAAGCATTATTCTGCTGGGAGAACACATTACTTTCCTCTTGCAGGAATGGCAGCAGAATGAGTTAAACAGTGTTCACAACAGGCATAGTGCAGTTCAACATTTCCCTTCACAAATAGACAAATGAGATTTTTAGCTTTTGGTGCTCTATAGCATGGAGCTTTATATGCACTTTTGTGTCAAACCATTTTGCCAGACTGACATTCAGCTGCTTTCTGTGACAAGGCAAAAAATAATTCTGGATTATTGGTTGAATGTTTCAAGTTCAACATCCATACCAACAACATCCACATCAGACATGATAAAATAGGAAGCATTATTTTTGGAGCAACCTTGAGTGTGTGTATGGATACATAAAGTAATACATGTGTGTGTATGCATACATAAAGTGAAATTACCAAGCAGAGTTCAAATTCCCCTCAAGTCTGTGTCTTTCACGTCACGCTGATAATCTTAGAAAAGGCCTGCATCCATCTTTCTCCATCTATGTCTTAAATTTAAAGGGTAGACTAAGCTCTCTTGCCTTGAGTGGCAAATAGGCTAGGAGCAAAATTTTGAATTCAAACCTGAACAGTGTTGTTTGGAGAGCTCATAGCACCGTGTGTGTCATTTCTCTGACATCAGTTCTTCCAAAAAGTGTGTCCAGTTCTACACAAACCTTTACCAATATAATCAAATCATCTGTGTGAGTAGTCGAGTGGTTCAGTTTTAAACTGAACTGTTGGACCTTTTCAATGCTGGAAGTCAGAAGAGATACAGTCATATTGTTCCCAAGGTATTTTTATAAAAGTGAGCTTAATTAATTCAAACTTGCCAATTTCCGAGTTGCTACAACTTTTTACCACTCGAATATTTGGTTTTCTACAAACAATTAATAATTCATGTCTTTTTGCCTTTTTTAAAAAAAAATATATATGAACTTAAAATATAGTCTTTCATAGAAGACTATATGAAAGATGAGCTTATGTTATGAAGATCCACTTTTGTCACTAATATAAACTTTCCAGAAATAAACATTTTCGGTTTTTAATACTAAATTTTGTAAGCAACAAGAAATAAACTCAAGCATCTAAAGTGTTGTTGTATTTAGGTGCCTTACTTAGACAATATGCTTAAAATTCAATAAATATTTGCCTTACTTACATGAGATGATTAAAACTATAAATGTTTGCCTTACACAATTTGCTTAGAACTTGATAAGCATTTGCCTTACACGATATGCTTAAATCTCTGTATACATTTGCCTTACTTCCATGATATGCCTAAAGCTCTACATATATTTGCTTTACACAATTTCTAAAACATAATTATTTGCCTTACTTCCACAATATGCTTCAAATTCTACATGCATTTGTCTTACGCAATATGCACAAGACTCTATAAGCATTTACCCTACAATACATGACATGCTTACAAACATACATTTGCCTTATTTCCACAATATACTTAAAACTACATATATTTGCCTTACCAAATATGCTTAAAATTCAAAAAGCATTTGCCTTATTTCCATATGTCTAAAACTGTACATACATTTGCCTTACACAATATGCTTAAAACTCAGTAAACATTTACCTTACACAATATGCTTAAAACTCTATAAACTAGAATCTCTATATGTCTTACACAACTGGTAAATTTGAGGTAAATTTATTTTTATTTTCTTTCTCTACTCCTCAGATACAATGACATCCTCAAGAATGGTCTTCCTGATTGGAAGCAACCTGTTTTCTATTACCGTAGTGTACGAAAACTTGGTCTTCTAGAACTTACTGGCATCATGTTCTTCATTTTCACCGTTGGACAATATTTGGTTATTTGGTCGATGTATTTTGAAAAAAAATTCACTGTTGTAAGCATCAGCAGAGGTTTTTTTTTTATTTCTTTTCGTTCTTTGTTACAATCATTCAAAATTTATGTTTTCTTAATTATTATGACTAGTATCTTCATCTTTGTTATTTGATTACTGTCTTTGCCAATGCTTTTACTTCACAGGGTTTTTTTTTGTACAGAATTATGAATTGCATTCTTAGTTTAAGTAAAAAATGGTTGTAGATGAAAGAATGTAATCAAAGATGAACTTACTTGAAAGACACCTGAAAAAGACTGGAGAATGTATTGGTCAAAATATAATGAGAAAAAAAAAAACAAAGATGAAGGTAATTGTCCAAATAAATTATGGAATAATGAAAGTACACCCCACTCTTCACACACACACACACACACCTCTTAATTGGAAGAAATATTTTACAAGATCTGGAATCAAAGATCATATCGAACCCTATATATACAGTTTCCCTGTGCAAACAAACCTGTAATAACAAAATTTATGTCATTAAAAATTAATAATAAACTGCCCCTGACATGTAAATAGGTTGCTAACCCAGCTGTTCTTGGAATGTGTACATGTGGGACAACTGCATGGCAGGAAGATATATAAACACAGCACTTGTGAGAGAAATTACAAAGTCTTTCACATCCTCATGCAAAAATCCATGTTTGGAGAAAGTTCCCAAAGTCACACACTCTCAGCTCAATTATTGATGGAATCTGGAAGTGAATAAACAATAATTTTCTGTATGAAAGATTTAGTCTCATATACTTAATAATCTGTACAAGATTATTAATGTTTCATCTGCATTTTATGATATCTTATTAAATATCTTAATTATCTGAATCAGATGTTTACTTTTTCGTTATTTTATATTTTATATAGGTATTAAATCTTGGCCTAGAAAATTTAGAAATCTGGGTCCTCTCTTGTCTGAAGTTTAGCAAATAAATGGTGTGGTCTCTTTTATTAAATGAAACAAATGGTGACTTCTTTTTCAGGAAGAAAACTTTCACAGCCGATTAAAAAAATCTGAGAAAAAGAGTCGCAAAAAAGCAGCAATATGTGAAAATGTAATCGAAGCAGAATTTGAAGAAAAGATGAATGCATTGAATCGTCCACAATTGAAGGACCTCTGGCCACTACGCTTAACTTGTTGGCTCTACATGACTGCTCTGAATACACCCTATTACTACAGCCTACTCCGGGAGTATGTAGCTACCTCTTGGAATGAGCGATACAAGCAGCAAGAATCAGAAGAAAATACTGAGGACCTTGCTCAAGGTAAGTTAAAACCCATAAAGAAAAATAACATTTTATTCAAGATTATCACTATTTTTTGTAGAAAGTTTTACTTAGAATAAAATTACATTAATAGCTGACCTCTGTCATGGTTCACAATAAGTGTAATAGCTTTTAGTTGCTATTGCTGGAACAGGTAAGGTAGTTATAGTGGTTTGCTAGTGCTCACTTGTCTAAATTTTTCACTGTTAATCATTGTGGCATGTCAGTAATGAAACCTTTTACAAAATGACTGGGGATAGGACTGTGCTGGAAAAAGTAGATTCATACTTTTCCTAAGGACATTTATGCAAATTGTAATTTTAACCTGCTAAATTTGCTTTCCCCACCAATAATGCTTCAAATGTATTTGTCTTTGTATCATCAATGTATTTGGCAAGCCCGAGTTTTTTAATATGAAATGTTTTTCATATTGTATATATGTTGAATTATCTATCCCTTGTTTCTTCTCTAGGATTGGGTTTCCGGTTTGTTCTAAAATCTACTTAAACTCTATACTTTTAATATTTCTGCCTAAACTCTGAAATTTTAATTACTATTTTTTTTTTCTCAGTATGAGTAGATAGATTTACATATCATGCAATTCATTTCTCCCATCTTTTGAACAGGAGTAGAGGATTATCCCTTGTTTTCAGTTCCTTCTAAAGTCTTTTTCTTCTCTTTCACTTCCCCTTTCATCTTTGTGGCGTTATTGGCTTAAAAAAAGATGTTACATTTGCTCTGTCAGCAGAGTCTAAAATATGCCAATGGCATTCCCTGCAGTAGAGTAAGACACCCCCACTAAAAGGAGCTACTTACGAAGAGCTTATAGACTCACATGTAAACTACCAATATTTACTTAGTAGGTTAGTGTTGTGTTCCGTGTCATCACTGGAGTCTCAATGTTACTGCTTATGTTGTATATTGCTGCTGGACCCAAATAAGGAGACATATATTTATATATAAAAATATATAAATATTTTTATTGTTTGAATTGTGGTGAATGGGTAGAGTATGGGAAAGGTTAGGATTGTGCACACAGGAATTGATGGAAACAAATCTTCGGTGAACCTCTAACCAGTCTCTCTTCAGATCAAGAATCGGACTGGTTATATAACATTTGGACACCCACGTAACTTCATATTCTTCTAGTATGTTGCCTATGCAATTTCATATGGCCACACCTCTTCAGCATGTGCCCATGCAAGCACGCATTTCCTTCCACCTGTGTCCTGTTTATTCAAAGCTCAGGGCACCTGTGCATCCTGTTTATTTTAGCCACCAGATGCCTTTCCTGTCTATGCTATCACCAGTTCCAATTTCCACTCACACACTGATGCAGCAGAAGTAAGGTCAAAGGTCTTTCCTCAACCAATATCCAACACATAGATGGTATTAATGAAAAGATGGTTTCTTTCTTTTACTTATTTTATTAGTGACAGATGTGGATTCTAGAAGACAGCAGGAGGGGGAAGAAATTCAAGAGAACATGTCACTCATTGTGTTAGCATCCCTCTGCATGTAGTCTTAGCCTGCCTCTCAAACCTGGTTGTCGGAAGTGTATTAACACTTCAAAATTCCTGCAACCTGTTGACTTTGCACGATTTTGAACTTATACTCAGATTGAGGAATTGGAGAGCCGAGTTCGAATTCCAGTCGAATCCATTACATTCACTTATGTGCTAATACCCTTTGGAAAGGTATTAATCCTCTTCTTCCCTCTCCAGCTATGGGCAAATAGCAGGACAGACTGGGTTTTGTAGCCTTGGATGGCAACTGGTCTACCGCAGAAAGAAATGGCAACCTACTGCAGGAAAAAATCTGCCTTATCAGTCATGTATCGAAAGATACATGATTGCCTAAGCATGTATCATGCATGGCACATAACCGACTGACTGATCGCAGACCCAAGCAAAGACAATCTATCACTCTTTGGAATACCATGCCCACAATGTATTGTGATCAATTGCTGACTATCCTGGCCCTATACTCTGCATTCTGTAACATTAGATGTTTTAAGTAGGTCCTTAACCTATCCCCAAACACATAAACAAAATAAGACATTAACTTCTGTAACCAGAGCCAGCCTAACCATAAACAATGGGAAAATGCCATTAAAAATATAATTTGCCAGTACATATCACTTAATGGTTGCAATAAGTAACAGATTTATTATTTACTATAAAAAATAATTAAAACATCTAATTTACTTAAAACATCCTACAGACCATAAGATGTCCGATCTGTTGCTAGAGATGCTGGAAAAATGGTCAATTCATTGTACCATGCCAGTAAGTATCTGACTCTATACTCTATCTTTACAAGAGCCAGATCAGACCAAAAATAGAGCATTGCTGTCACATCTCATCTGGAACTTCCCAGCCCTCACTTGTTCATCTTGATATGAGTTCAAAAGTGTCTACACAGCCTTGTGGGTGATGAATCATTTCCAACCCTACAACCCCTTTCCCACAGATGAAACATTATGAGCCGCTTGCTGCTCTCTTGGCACTTCCATGGCATGTGTTCTTATGAGCTACAGTCTTTATTTCCTACAGCCCTGACCTTTGCAACTAACTAGGAAGCCCTATAACCACATACATAAATGTGAATCATCCCCCATTCCTTTTGTATTCAATTAATAAGATGTAAGTTCCATTTGGGCAGCTTCTTCCCAAGAACTTCTGCTTTGTGGAACAGACTCCCATCAGAATGTTTTCCGAATCCCTACAATCTTAGGTTAGCTGTTATCTTTCTTGCATAACCCTATGAACTTCACTTGCCTTATATGCTCATACAATGTCATACAGAAACCCTCTACCTTGAATGGCTCTTGGGCCTTGTATAGAGTAAACATTAGTATAAAAAAACGTAAATGCTTGTACTCAAATATAAACCAAGTAAATGCAAATATAAGTGACCGTTATTTCTCTATTCCTGAACCAAGTAAATGGTTATAAACTCTAAATACAAGTGACCAATTTTTACCTATTCCCATACCAAGTAAATGTTTATAGACACAAATATAAGTGATCAACATTTATCTATTCCTAGACCAAGTAATTGCTTTTAGACTCAAATATACTAAACTGGTTTTGACGTTGAATAACCCATCCAGGGTTGAGGCTTATGGCCATATCATGTTGAAACACTAGTTCCTATATGATCACTGAAGTTAAGCAACATCAATGCAGACAGTGTAATGGATAATGGCTTGGAATTGTTAATCAGAAAGCAGTTCCAATTCCCATTGGATTCATTATATTCACTAGGGAAATACCCTTGAGAAAGGTATGAATCCACCTTTTCTCCCCCCAGTTATGGGTTAATTAGTAAGACTTGTATCTTCTTTATGTGCCATGTCCACTCAGGACACAAACAATTATGGCCCTCTGCAATTTTCTGTCAATTGTAGTTCTTAATAAATTTTAGCTTTCTGTTACTTTTCCTAAACCGTGTTTCTGCCATCCATTTACTCAATCTCACTCAGTATGTTATGCGTTGTTTTCCTCTGTCCATCTTGCATTCAATCTGTCCTGTGAGTATCAGATCTTCCAAGCCTTCTTTCCTCATTATGTGACCTAGAAACAAGATTTGTATCACTAAACCATTACCCCTACCCCAACAAAAAAAAATTCTTACAATCTAAAATTATCTTCTGGCTTTAAATAATCTTCAAGGGATTAATAAACTGTAGAAAAAGAATCAATCAACCAGGGTTGATATGTCATAAACTCTACCAAGCCAAATGTATACTGCATCAATTGAACCATCCTGGGAAATGATGATAAACTACATCTGGCAGCAAGGCCTCTGATCAGAAGGGTTTGAAGAACATGGAACCACCTCTTAATTGCTGTTGTTCCCAGGTCTACCCTGACCTGTGGTGGTAGCACCTGTTAGGGTCCCAGCTATGTGTAAATAGTTAACTCCAAACTGGAGTCAAAACACTATGAGAGGATAAAGAAAATTTATGGTAAAAATACCAGCAATTAATTTTCATAGTAAAAAAATTACCAGCAATACATTTTCGTCAAAGAAATTGAAGAGTAAGCATTCTCAAAGCAAACTTGTGGCTTTCACAACACAAAGAAAGAAAATCACTTGTAACGCGTCGGGAAAATAACTCACGAACGCCGTAGCCAAAACTGCCTGAATTTTCTTTTTCCCGCCATCTTGCGAGAGACAAAATAAATGCCGAAATAGCTTGAAGAGTAAGCGTTCTCAAAGCAAACTTGTGGCTTTCACAACACAAAGAAAGAAAATCACTTGTAATGCGTCAGGAAAATAACTCACGAACGCCGTAGCCAAAACTGCCTGAATTTTCTTTTTCCCCCGAGTCGACAACACCAACTGCTTTTATCGGCAGAACCTATTTTTTCCATTAGTCGACACCCGGGATTGGATGCTCCGTAATTTGCATATTAATATACTCTTATAGCGACTCCTGCGATGGACTTGTTTCTTTTTCGCCACAGAATACACGCGACGCACTGTCGCTTGGATTGACGAGGTAAGTCGCTATAAGAGTTTTGCTGTCAATTTTTTGGCAATCCCTCCCCGGCAGATCACACACAAAACACAAACTTTTTTCCGGGGTACTTGATTATCTTGTTCACTACAGAAATTAAGAATGCCCCAAGAAAATTGAATTTCAGCATTAAATGACCCATAAGGTGTTGATATGCCGCTAAACAAACATCAGTTGAAGTTGGTGAGTTTCTCATAGTCATCAAAGATCCTTTTACTTTTTATTGTGTTCTTGTTTGATGAACTGTGTCCCTATTCATTTGTTGGTTTATTTTGAAAGAAAACCATTGTTGGCATCATATTCAATGTGACACTGAAGAATATGTTAGTGAAAAAAAAGGTTAAATCCAAGCTGATTTATTACATCAAGAAGTGGAACTAATTTCTTTTGTCACTGAAATGTAAAAAAGATCTCCAAATCAATCTGAAAATGACCTCTTGTCTCAATTGAACTGCCAAGCCTTAGATTATCT